ACAGACCATTCCCTTCTGTATCTGCATCCCGTCAGGTGGAAGCATAAACAGCTCCTCCTCCAGAATCCCGTACAAAAAGCTGTATTAATGTCATGATGGGAAACATGCAGTTTCTCCTCTGCAGCTATCTTGAGCATCAGCCGAATGCTCTCATATTTGACTGTGGGTGAGTAGGTCTCGTGGTAATCCTGTCCTGGTACCTGTGAAAAACCTCTGGCAACCAATCTGGCTTTGTGTCTGACTACCTTGCCATTCTGGTCTGTCTTGGCCTTGAAGACCCATTTGCTGCCAACCAGTCTCATTCCTGGGACTACCGGTACCAGCTCCCAAGTTTGGTTCCTGTTCAAGGAATCAACTTCAGCCTTCATGGCATTAAGCCAAGGCTCAGCATCTTTAGAGGTTAACTCCTGAACCTCTTTGAAGCTTGAAGGTTCCCATACCTTCTCTGAGCTACTAAGAACAGCAGTTGCTGTCTTAGCAAACTCATCAGCAAATCTCTTTGGAGGTCTGCCCTTGGTGGCTCTCTCAGATCTGCGTACTAGACGCAAGTCTTCTGGACTCATCTCCTCCTTCTTAGGAGAAAAGTGACCAATGGTGAACAGTGGTTCTTCCAGTTCATTGTCAGACGCATCAGATGGTCTGACTGAGGCCTTTGCGCTCTTGTAGTCTGCTGTGTCATCACTGTCACTGACACCAGCAGCAGCGCCGCCCACTGAACTGGAATCCGAACTCTGATCATCATCATCATCATCATCATCATCATCCTCAGCAGCTTCCTCAGCTTTAGCTGCTTCTTTGACATCACCTTCATCCTCCTCTGGGTAACTCTGGAAAATTCCCACATTTTCCCCCCACTTAGGATTGTACTCAACACTCTTTGTGAACTTAATGGACTTAGAGTTGGTCATCCATACCCTGTATGCACCTTTTCGTACCCCATGAACAAACCATGTGCCCCACGCTTCCCAAGCTTGTTGCTCTGTGGGGTGTGTACCCACATGTCAGAACCAAAGATTCTCATGTGCTTGATGTTGGGTTTCTTACCAAACATCTTCTCATAGGGAGTACAACCAATAGGTGATGACAATCTGCGATTATAAGTGTAAGCAAAATTCGACAGAGCCTCCCCCAATACTTATCAGGAGATTGTCATCATGCAACAATGTTTTCATTCCTTGCAGCAACGTTTGATTTGCTCGCTCCGCAAGCCCATTCATCCATGGCGATCTAGGCGTTGACAAGTCATGCTGGATTCCCTTCTCAGTCAGGAAAGCTTCAAACTGCTGAGAAGTGAACTCCCGCCTCGATCAGTAAACAGACAGCCAATACGTTTACCGTGAACATTCTCCAACCAAGCACAGAATGCCTTGAACTTAGGAAACGCTTGCGATTTCTGCTCGAGCATAAACACATGAATGTACCTGGAAAAAGAATCAATTAGAACCATGAAGTACCTTGCTCCACCCAAAGAGGGCGCAAGTGGACCAACCAGGTCTGCGTGCACTAGCTGGTAGGGTTTGGAAGCCTGCCTGCTAGACTCCTTGCCTTTTGGAGCAACCTTCACCTTGTTCTCTGCACAAGATACACATTTCATGTGAAACTTACAGGGTTTGATGTTCAAACCCTCAACCATCTCTGGCATCTTGGCCAGCGCCTGCCAAGACATGTGACAAAATCTTCTGTGTGCATCATGAATGCATCCTGCATGAAGAACTTTGTTAGTTTGTGCAACACAACAAGAATCAGCATTAGACACAACAGCACCATTGTCATCATAAGTTATACAGAACAAGCCATCCATAAACTTTGCATGCAAAATGTCCTCTTTGCCTTTTCTGATGACACAGACGCTCCTCTTGAAGGAAATCTCAAAACCACGCCCAGTCAACTGTGGGACACTGAGCAAATTGTCTGCAGCGCCTGGAACATACAGTACATCTTTGATGGTAGTGTGCAGACTTGCCAGTTTCACAGTCCCTTCTCCTGCGATTCGCAACGTCTTTCCATCAGCCAGGTGGATCTCACCTTCTTGAGGTTTGAAGGAGATAAAGAGATGGCGGTCCTTTGAGATATGGCGGGTACAGCCTGAATCAACAACAAACCTGGCCTTGGCTTTTGGAGCAGCCTTTGCAGCAAGCAAAACCTTGTTTTCCACCGGCGTGGGCTTTTGCAGCTTGCCCCCCTGCTCCTGGCCATCAGACTTGCCTTTAGCCTTTGGTGAGGCTGTGCCAGCAAACAAAACCTTGTTTTCCACTGGCGTGGGCTTTTGCAGCTTGCCCCCCCTGCTCCTGGCCATCAGACTTGCCTTTAGCCTTTGGTGAAGCTGTGCCAGCAAACAAAGCCTTGTTTTCCTCTGGCGTGGGCTCTTCACCCTCCCTCTGCTTCTGGCCATCTGCAGGCGTCTGCCTCTGTTTACCTTTGCCCTTCCGGCCTCTGCAAAGGCGATGACCTTGGCTCCCATGAGAAACAGAGCTCTCAGCTGCCGACTCCTTGGCTCCCCTGGAGGCTGGAATGCTGCCTGGGATGACGTGACAGTCAGCTCCCCTGCAGCTTGCAACCGGTGCCCTCAGCATCCCTGCCTTCACTCGCATTCTGGGAAACAGCCAGGACCTCCGATGCAGTCAAACGGTGGGCTGGGATGACTGGCAGATGGGCTCTCGTCAAAGCATGCCCCATCGTACGTGCCGGCAGCTTGCCAGCTAGCGTTTTATTTCCTCCAGAGAGACGGACAAGACGATTATGTCTATCGCCTTCGAATTTTCGGCCTCCCATCTATCTGTCAGAGGAACTGGAGGGGCTTCAGACACAGTATGCCACACTCCAAACTGACGCAGCAAGCTCTCACACCACACAGCCCAGGTCCCATAGTTGTGCCGATTTAACTTTGGGCACACAGCAGCCTCAGAAGCTTGGAAAAACTCCATTCCAGGTTTCTATTTGAGCCGTGAGTCTTATTCACTTCAGAGACGTCTTATCTCAGCAGCTCATTATTCATGAGCCTTTGGCGCGTCTCCCAGATCCATTAATCTGCCGGAGTTCAAAGGCCCTTGCCTCGGCAAACAGAAAAGCCTCACTTTCGCTTTTCTTCCACATACCTTTCAGCAGTCTGTCGCAGTCTTACTCTCCTGTAAGTGCTGTGAATCTGGGCCCGAAACCTGTTGTTGGGATACTGCCAGGGAGATAAAGTCCATCATGGCCCCCAAGCCGGCTGCCGGACGATCCATCGACCTCCCGTAGTCACGCAGTATCAACAATTAGCGACATGAGTTTCTAGAAGATTTCTTGCCACATTCCAGAGCTCATGCACACTGTATCAGCAGATAATGCACAGCCAAAAGTTGCAGTCAGGAGAGCATTATTTACAAGTTTATTCAGCGTTGATCAGAACACAGAAAAACATGACTGACTGCTTTAGTGTCTGCGACACCAGAGAGAAAACGAAAGCAACAGAAAACATAAACATCCTGTGAACAGGAAATATGCAGACTCTGACTCACAAAGCCTGCTCCCTTTTAAGGTGGAACGGAAATATCCTAACAGTGTTTCCCCGTGAAAGCTTTAGAAATCAAACTACTTTACAATTGGTTTTACACTGAAGTGAAACCACACTTTAGTTCAAGGTTTTTGCAATCTCCGGAGTGATGGAATGAAGGACATCTCCCTTTAATCCCTACTCAATGACAATTCACTTTGAACTTTGCTGGCGAAACTCCCCATACTCTGGGGGCTAGGTTTTCCTAAATCCCACTGTTTAACTACAGCTCATTGGAACTGGATGCAGTTGAATTACTGAACCACCACATATTTGTGTTTTTCAAACCATGAAGTCGTGATCTTATCGGCTGGCGCAGCATCAGATACAAACCAGGTAGGTGTCCTTACCCAATTGGCTGCTGCAGCAGCAGGTAGAAGCAAGCCAGGGTTATAAATGGAAGGTAACCTAAGGAGAAGAGAGCTTACTCTACAAGCAAGAGGGAAGAGCAAACATCTCAGCCCAAAGGAGCAAGTGTCAAAGTAATAAGCGTCACAACAGGACGTTTTGGGGAAAGCCCAGGTATGTATAAAAAGGATCTGAGAAAAGTTTGTTAATAATTCACCATCCATAAGGGGCAGTGAAAGCTAGCTGAATGAGTGTGAATGGGGAGACGTACAGGTTAACATCAGGCCACCTGCCCCCTTGCAGAAGTGGCTGACTCTAAAAGGCTGCTGTTCTAGGAGCACTAGGCCCTGGTGAAGCTGTATACCCCCTGCCTGAGTGGCTGAAGCAGCTCAGGACACTCCCCAAACTAGGACACCTTTCATTAGTGCTGGGGAAGGGAGAATGCAAGGCAAGCCTGCTGAGGATGTTGGGCAGCATCACTGGCAAGGATGATGAGCGAGAGGAAGCCCCAGGCAGTCAAAGCAAGTAATGCAGATGTGTGAAGGGACAATAAGTAATACCCATTTACTGACTCATTTGATCAAAGTAATTCTGACCAATAAGGGCACTGTAAGCTCCCAATGTCTGCTGGGATCCAAATCCTGGCAGAACGTACAACTCAGAACGTACAACTAGAGTAGGAAGCCTATAGAAAAGAGCTAGTGTTGTGGAAAACTAGGCCACAGTCAACAAATGAGAATGACACATTACCAATAAATGTTACCGTAGAACAAAAAAAATTCCTTTGAGTAGGTTTCCATAGAAGAGTGCTAATGTGTGCTAAAGAGAGCCAGTGTGGTGTAGTGGTTAATCTGGGAAACCGGGTACACGTCTCCGCTCCTCCACATGCAGCTGCTAGGTGACCTTGGGCTAGTCACACTTCTTTGAAGTCTCTCAGCCCCACTCACCTCACAGAGTGTTTGTTGTGGGGGAGGAAGGGAAAGGAGAATGTTAGCCGCTTTGAGACTCCTTAAAGGGAGTGAAAGGCGGGATATCAAATCCAAACTCTTCCTCTTCTTCTTCTTCTAATACATGCTGGTGTTTTGTGTGTGTCTGTGTGTTTAGGAAATCTCAGATTGCAATGAAACTCGCCATCCATTTCTCCTTGTTACTGATTGTCCTTCAAGCCCACGATGGTCATGGAGATAAAGATCCACTTCAAGAAAAGCTAGCTTCCAGCATTGCTGGCTTTGCATTTAAAGTCTCCAGAGAAGTAGCTTCACTCCAGGGTGGCAAAAATATCTTCTTCTCTCCTCTGAGTATCTCCATGGCATTTTCAATGATTGGCATGGGTGCTAAATCCAACACCCAAAATCAAATTTACGAAGGACTTGGATTGACATCAATTGACACAAGCAAGGTCCATAAAGAATTTGAACAGCTCATTCAGATGCTGAACAGTCCTGGAGCTAAGATGGACATAGGAAATGCCATGTGGATAAAACAGTCACATCAAATTCTTCCTAAGTTTTCAGAGGATGTCAAAAGTTTGTACAAAACAGAGAGCTTTAACTTTGAACAACCCTCAAAGGCTGCAAAGCAGATAAATGATTACGTGGCAAAGAAAACCCATGGGAAAATTACTAAAGCAGTTGAAGGCTTAGATCCAAAAACCATCATGGTTCTTGTGAACTATATCTACTTCAAAGGTATGTTAAAGAAAGATAAGTTACAAATATTTAATGCTTTGTATTGTTGAATCTGCTAAAACTGGGAGGAATAACTTATCCCTTCAAAACAAAAGCATTTCTACAGTGAAACCAACAATTTAGTTGAATGTTCTAAAACATACAGCATTTAATGCAGAATTAGAGAAAGACAGGTGTTGAGGCTGAAGTGGCTAACCTGAAGGATTCCAGATGTTCTCGGGCTACATCTCCCACCATCCCTGACGATTGGCCATGCTGGCTGATACTGATGGTGGTGAAGTCCAGCAACATCAAGATCCCTGCCCCTGGATGCTTCTAAACCACACAGGAAGCAGTTCCATTTGACTCAGTCCACGTTTTGGCCTGCGGGACCCCACTCTTCCCATTTCTTGCTGTCTTCTGAAACATCAATAGCAGGTTGACTTACCCTTTGTCTGCACTCTCCTGATTCAACAGACTGCTTTCATACCCATAGTTGAAGGTTCATTCTCTAGCAGGCAGCTGATCCAGTTCTGATCCAGTTCTGCTGGATCTCTCAGCGGCTTTTGATACCATCAACCCTAACATCCTTCTGGACCGTCTTGAGGGGCTAGGAGTTGGGGGTACTGTTATACAGTGGTTCCACTCCTTTCTCCATGGGTCCAGAAAGTGGGGGGGGTGTGAGTGTTCAGACCCTTGGGCTCTCACTTGTGGGGTGCCTCAGGGGTCCGTCCTCTCCCCCATGCTTTTTAACATCTACATGCAGCCGCTGGGAGAGAACATCAGGGGGTTTGGGCTGGGTGTTCATCAATATGCGGATGATACCCAGCTCTACCTCTCTGGTAAATCAGAACCAGTGAAGGCAGTGAAGGTCCTGTGTGGGTATCTGCAGGGGGTGGGAGGATGGATGGCAGCTTATGGATTGAGGTTGAATCCTGACAAGACAGAAGTACTGTTCTTGGGGGACAGGGGGCGGGCTGGTGTGGAGGACACCCTGATCCTGCTTGGGGTAACTGTGCCCCTGAAGGACCAGGTGCGCAGCCTGGGAGTCATTTTGGACTCACAGCTGTCCATGGAGGCGCAGGTTAATTCTGTGTCCAGGGCAGCTGTTTACCAGCTCCATCTGGTACGCAGGCTGAGAACCTACCTGCCCGCAGACTGTCTTGCCAGAGTGGTGCATGCTCTAGTTATCTCCCACTTGGACTACTGCACTCTACATGCGGCTTGAAGGTGACTTGGAAACTACAACTAATCCAGAATGCGGCAGATAGACTGGTGACTGGGAGTTGCCGCCGAGATCACATAACACCAGTCTTGAAAAACCTACATTGGCTCCCAGTACGTCTCCGAGCACAATTCAAATGTTGGTGCTGACCTTTAAAGCCCCCTAAACAGCCTCGGTCCTGTATACCTGAAAGAGCGTCTCCACCCCCATCGTTCAGCCTGGACACTGAGGTCCAGCACCGGGGGCTTCTGGCGGTTTCCTCATTGCGAGAAGTGAGGTTACAGGGAACCAGACAGAGGGCCTTCTCGGTAGTGGCACCTGCCCTGTGGAATGCCCTCCCAGCAGATGTCAAGGCAATAAACAACTATTTTACTTTTAAAAGACAACCGAATGCGGCCCTGTTTAGGGACATTTTTAATGTCTGCCTCTTTATTGTTTTTAATATGCGGTTGGAAGCCGCCCGGAGTGGCTGGGGAAACTCAGCCAGATGGGCGGGGTACTAATAAATTATTATTATTATTATTATTATTATTATTATTATTATTATTCTTGTTCTTGTTCTTGTTGTTGTTATTATACTTCTTTTTCATCTTAGATGACTGGAAATATCCCTTTAACGCTGAATTAACCCATAAAAAAGATTTTTTTATTGACGAAGGAAAAACTGTGAAAGTTGACATGATGGAAAACACGGAGCGTTACAGATATTTCCACGATGAAGCTCTGTCATGCCGGGTAGTTGAACTTCCTCACAAAGGAGGTGCTGCTGCCTGGTTCATTCTGCCTGATGAAGGCAAACTGAAGGAAGTGGAGGATGCTATGGGGGAGGAAACTTTGTCCAAATGGAGAACTTCTTTAAAAAGGTGGTAAGGCTTTTCTCTGCTGTTTCTAAATGCCTCTGTAGTAGTTAGTATTTATTAGAGTTTGGAATGAAGGCATCTATTTTAAAACTGTAAAATGCCTCTATTTAAGGGTATGAAGGTCTGACACTGCAAATGCAGTTTATTGCTGAATGTTATAAAACTCTTCATTGCTGATGATTTAATGTTCTGATTCTCGTTTAGGAGAAAAATTAGTCTGTCCCTTCCAAAATTCTCGATGTCTGCATCCTATAATCTCAAGAAGGTGCTGTCTAGGCTGGGCATTACTGATGTGTTTAGCGACAATGCTGATCTATCTGGAATTACTGGAAGGAGCGACCTGAAGATTAACAAAGTACGTGTGTAAATATCATGCCTTGGGCATTTTATGGTATGAGATCAGGCTTTTAAAAGTAACTGACAAATTTACTTCGAAGCATTAAGAATCGGCCCCTGGACCTTTCCACCTTCTCTTGCAGTCTCTGTAGCAAGAAGACAGTGCCTGATCACTCCTTATCAGGAGACTCTTTGCCTCCTTGCCATAGTAACCAGTACATAGGGTTGTAGGCAGTGTTAGTACCACTCAGAGATGACCCATTCAGAATAATTTTATTTATTTTGTTAGTTAGTTAGTTCCCATTCTTCACTCTAAGGTCCCAGGGTGAGTTACAACATTGAAACACAACATTAAAAATAGTTTGAAAACTACCTGCAATCATAAAAAGAAGGAGGGTCGTAGAATTGTAGAACTGTAGAGTTGTAAGGGAGCCCCGAGGGTCATCTAGTCCAACCCCCTGCAATGCAGGAATCTCAGCCAAAGCATCCATGATGGATGGCTATCCAACCTCTGCTTAAAAGCCTCGAAGGTATGAGAGTCCAGCACCTCCCTTGATCTGGATATTATACTGGAATGGACTTCCTTGGCCTAGATGCCCCTTTACGCCCCCTAACTCTACCATTCTATGAGTCTATGAATTATTCTGGGACCTTTACTGGTGGCAACTGCATGCACACAGACTGAACTGCATTGCATGTGAGAATTTTGCTTGGGTTAGGGAAATGCTGCACTAAATTCCAACACATCTGAAAGACGAATCAGAACCCAGTGTTGTGGAGAAAATCAAAATAAAGCAGCCAATCAAAAGACAGTCCAGACTGGAAGTTCTTTGAGGCAGGCAGAACCCAGTCACTCCATTCTTCTGTGCATATTTACAGGCAGCGCTTGTGGCCTTGGAACAAAGGTTTGGAAGGAATTCTTCCTCCTCGTTCCGAGAACCTTGGCCATGTGACTTGAGAAGCACCCAGTGGCCCAGTGGGCTTGGTGCTCACCTCACAGGCATGCCAAGCCTCAAGTGCACATTCAGTGACTCAATGAAAGACGGCATAAGGTGGACCAAGGTCTCCCTTCTTTCTTTCTTTTTAAAAAAAAATATATATTCATTTTTCTTTTTCATTCATTACATACATCTCAAACTCTTAACATTTACTATATATTCCTCCCTCCCTCCCCTCCAAGGCTTCCCCCAACTTCCGCTTCTGGTTTGTTTCTATTTTCACCCACTTCGCTATCTCTTAACAGAAAAAGTTATTAATTACGTAACTTTAAGCCTAAAGACATGAAAATAACAGGAAATACACCATCATATTTCACTATCTTCTAAACATTTTCTAATGCTAATAATATGAATGTTTATTTAAATCCTGCCATCAAGCCTACTGACTTTCTTTGATTCTGCAAATATAATATGAATGGTTCCCAATCTTTTTCAAAGTCTCTGTTGTCTTTTTCTCTTAGTCTATCTGTCATTTTTGCCAGTTCTGCAAAGTTCATCAACTTCTCTTGCCATTGTTCTTTAGTTGGTATTTCTCCAGTCCTCAAGATGGATCAAGATTTCCCTTCACCCAGTACTGCCTCGGTTATCTGCCCCACTGTCTCTTGAGTTTTCTTTCCTGCCCTGACTAACAACCAATTAATAAAATGCAACTGCAGCCTAACCAATTAGTCCCAAACATATGAAGTTCTGTAGAGGGGAAAAAAGGAGTCATGAAGCAAAATATTCCTCCTCAGCCCCCAAATAGGCAACTAACGAAACCCCATACCATGCAGGGACGGAAGGTGGGCACTCCAATGAAAAGACTGGAGTGTTTCCACAGATCGAGGCTTCAAAGCGGCTTAGTGCTTGTGTGCATTTTTGTTTGTGGGGGTTTTTTCTTTGTGTGTGTTTGTGTGTTTATTTCCTTGTTTGTGTTTTGATGGTGGGGGAAGCACTGGGAAATGATTCTTGGAATGAGGATAGGAGGATTATAAATGTGTTTCACTTTTCATCTGTGATATGTTGCAGGCTGTGATGGTTTCCAAAAATATATCTTCCTTCCTTCCTGTGCAGGCTACTCACGAGGCTGTTCTGGATATACATGAAGAAGGTAGTGAGGCAGCAGCAGTGACCACTGTAGGGATTGTTTTTAAATCTCTAAAACCCCTCTCCTTTCCTATTCCACTCATATTTGACAAGCCATTCTTTCTCACCATATTGGCACCAAATGATGGACACATGCTTTTCTTCGGGAAAGTAGTGAACCCTGCTCAAAAATAAACATTAGGCGGACCATTCAGAAGCTTCCAGTTACCAGCCATCTTAGTGATGAAAGAGGACTTTCCCCCTTTCTTTGCTAGAAGAAAGCGTCATAACCAGTAGTTGTTTTTAAGGACAACTATGACATCGACAGGAAACTGCGTGTACAATAAAGATAATTTTAAAACATGTCTCTATTTCATTTTTTAATATAATTTTTATGAAAGTTTCTTTTTTACAATTTATAATATTTAAACAACCTTAAAATATCAATGACTTCCCTTCTTCTCTTTCCATGGTTTGTTTTGCACAACATAAATCCCTGCATATTTTACATAAATTAAACCATTCAGTATTGCATTATTACATCCATCACAACTTATTTACACTGTTGAATTTATCTTAATGCTGGCAACGTTTTCAAGTGTACACAATTCCCTCCCATATATTCACTAAACATTTTCCAATCTTCTTTAAACAGCTGTCCATGGAGGCACTGGTCAATTCTGTGTCCAGGGCAGCTGTTTACCAGCTCCATCTGGTATGCAGACTGAGACCCTACCTGCCTGCGGACTGTCTCGCCAGAGTGCTGCATGCTCTAGTTATCTCCTGCTTGGACTACTTCAATGTGCTCTACATGGGTCTACCTTTGAAGGTGACCCGGAAACTACAACTAATCCAGAATGCGGTAGCTAGACTGGTGACTGGGAGTGGCTGCTGAGACCACATAACACTGGTCTTGAAAGACCTACATTAGCTCCCAGTACATTTCTGAGCACAATTCAAAGTGTTGGTGCTGACCTTTAAAGCCCTAAATGGCCTCAGTCCAGTGTACCTGAAGGAGCATCTCCACCCCCATCGTTCTGCCCAGACACTGAGGTCTAGCGCCGATGGCCTTCTGGCGGTTCCCTCACTGCGAGAAGCCAAGTTACAGGGAACCAGGCAGAGGGCCTTCTCGGTAGTGGCACCCGCCCTGTGGAACGCCCTCCCACCAGATGTCAAAGAGAACAACTACCACCAGACTTTTAGAAGACATCTGAAGGCAGTCCTCTTTAGGGAAGCTTTTAGTGTTTAACAGACTATTGTATTTTAATACTTTGTTGGAAGCCACCCAGAGTGGCTGGGGAAACCCAGCCAGATGGGCGGGGTATAAATAATATATTATTTTATTATTATTAGTAGTAGTAGTAGTAGTAGTAGTATTTCTTGTGAGGGATGATGCTGGTTACAAGACGGCAAAAAAGGAGATTGGAACAGGCTAAGCAGAGGAAGATCTTAAACTGCTTTACTTCTGTTAAGACACATTCAAACCAGGAAAGCACTGTTCCTACTCTGCAAGGAGCATCCCTCCATCTTGAAACTGATGTAGGACAGACTCCCACAGGAACACTGTCCAGACCTAATCTATGGATATGTGCAGGAGCTGTGTCTTTCTCCCTCTCTTGTCAATATTGAACATGCGTACTTTGCTGAAGGTCCTGGGGCACCAAATGGCAGTGCAAGAAATACTAAATCATGAAAAGACAAAAGTCCTTTAAAAGTTTTTCTTTTAAAAGCATCAAAGTAGAGTTGGAAGGGATCCTGTGGGTCATCTAGTCCAACCTCCCGAAATGCAGGAATCTCAACTAGATGATACATGACAGATGGTCATCCGAACTCTGCTTAAAATCCTCTGAGGAAGGAGAGTCCACCAGAATGGGCTTTAATAGCCCCACAGTTCTGCCAATGTTATTTCAGTACTTTAGCTTACAATCATATGGGTGGGGACAGGGGAGTAGGAAGGGAGGTAGTTTGCCCCAGGTGCCATCATGGAGGGGGGTGACAAATTATCAAGGAACAATTACTGCCCTACTAGGGCAGTTCATAAAAAACTTTTTTGAAAATGCCTGCTCCAAAGGTCTTATCTTACTACACTAGGGATTATATGAAATTTCATGCATATCATTTAATATCTTGACCCTCCTCCATGAAAATAGCTGTTTACTTGGCCGTTTTCCTATGTCGTGAAGGCTGAAATTTCAATTCAGTGGAGCAGGGTCAAGATATTAAATGATATGTGTTTTGTTTTGGTAAACCACTTTGCAGGTTTTTAAAAAATAAATTTTATTAAATAAATAAACAATAAATATAAATAAAATAACACAAGCCAAAACACAATCCATCCTGTAGATTTAAGTATCTGTCCACAGTCGCCTACTTGTTATCCGAGACCCAGAATCCACATTCCTTTGTAAGAAAATATGAAATAACATTAAAACCATTTTTGCAGGCAAAAAATTAATAAAAATCAATGGGGGGGGGAGTGACAAGAAATTTTCCACACCGTGTACCACCTGACCTTCCTACGCTTCTGGGTGGGGATCACCTTTCCCTGTGCCCCCCCATTCCTCCTGGAGTTTGTGTGTTTCCCTGAGTCTGCCCACCTGCCCTTTTGTCCTAGAATCCACTAGGGAGACCTACAAGGGCTAGGGTTCTCTGAGCACAATACAAACAATAATAACATAATAATTTATTATTTATACCCCGCCTATCTGGCTGGGTTTCCCCAGCCACTCTGGGAGGCTTCCAACAAAGACCAAAAATACACTAAAATGCAACTCCTTGCATTTATCCTGTGACATTCCGGTCACACAAAATCCAAGCTCTGATTAAAGATGGAGAGAGGAATTCAAAGGACATTCACTTTCCTTACTGTGCAGCAGCATGCTGTTCCAAATCACCCTGAAAGAGTGGTCCTTGATCTCTGAGAGACCCAGTCCTTGCTGTCAGAAAGGAAATGGCCCCCTTCAGTTCAATTACCCCTAAAGGAGGCAACCCACTGATTTCTTCTAGCAGTGGAGGAGAGTGCAGCTAGCCATAATCCAGAGAAGCAGAGAGACAGAGTGAAAACGGGAGCCTTCAGATCCAATCTGCAAGGTCCTAGTTTTGAAGCTTGGTCAGAGAACAGACTCACTCACATGGCATGCCACTTACATTTCTCCCTTCCTACTCACCATCGGTGGATTTCTGGACATCCTGCTGGGTTCTAGCTGGGCTTGTCCTGGGAAAACCTCTTTATCACCAAGACCACTGAACCACCTGTGGATTTTCATCCACAAACACTCAATTTTGTGTTGTGCACTGATGAAATCCTTATCCAGGTCCCATTCAGATGGCCTTGAGTGACCTGGGTCCCATACAGGCCACCAGCTGTGGTAAGAATTCACCTCTACACCACCTTGTTCATTACCCAGGTGAAGAACTTTTGAATAAACCACAGAACCAAGGAAACTGTTTTCAAGTCCCACATCCAGATTTATGAACCCAGCGTTTCTTGTAGCTATTGTAATAGGACAGAGCTCACTCAACTCAACGTGCCAGTTGATACGGTCTGCCCTGAGGAACTTCAGAATAAAAGCTTATATTGCAGTTCCAGCACAGGAAACAAAGTCATAAAACATCTTCACATATGCCAGGAAAGGTTACATGTCATGAGAAGTACAGCACACATGGCTCCATACTGGTAACTTCACCCCCACACCTTAAGAAGTAGATTCTTCATATTCACAGATATTTTATCTTGCCACATCAAGTGGTAGCAATGCTCAGCATTCTAAAGATGTTGATGTCTCATTTAATGAACTTTTATGACAACAGAAAAGACAGCAATATTTAATAACAAGCTAATCACGCCATAAGATTTATCATATATTCTTTTATTGTATTGTCTCAAGTCAATGTACGTGAAATTAAATCTAATCTGGCATTATCTGGTTATATATTTATTTTGCAGCCAGGAATTAAGTGGAACAGTTGCCTAAACAGTTGAAATAGTGCCGGAATGTAATTCACAAGTTTCAACAACATGACAGCTGCATCATCAGCAGGAAGGGAGAGCATTTCTTCAGCGATCAACCTTCTTTATGGTCCCGCTTTCACTTCCATACATCACTACTGGGAAAACCATAGCTTTTACTATATGGACCTTTGTTGGCAAGGTGATGTCTCTACTTTTTAAGATGCTGTCTAGGTTTGTCATTGCTTTTCTCCCAAGAAGCAGGCCTCTTTTAATTTTGTGGCTGCTGTCACCATCTGCAGTGATCATGGAGCCCAAGAAAGTAAAATCTCTCACTGCCTCCATTTCTTCCCCTTCTATTTGCCAGGAGGTGATGGGACCAGTGGCCATGATCTTCGTTTTTTTGATGTTGAGTTTCAGACCATATTTTTGACATATTGACATATTACTGGAATGTAATTCACAGCGTTCGGTAAAAGGAAGTACAGATTTGAAATAGAGACATGTTTGGTTAGAGAACAAGAAGAACATAGGTTTAAAGAAGACTGGAAAATGTTTATTGAATATATGGGGGGAATTGTGTACACTTGAAAACGTTGGCAGCATTAAGATAAATTTATTTGTTTAAAAATAATATTTATTAATTTTACAACAGTTTAAACACAACACTACAAAAAAAAAACCGAAAAAAGAAAAAAAAACAATACAACACAGTACAGAAACACTACAAAACACTAACACATAAGATTAACAAAACAAAACAAAAACCATTTAAGACACAAAACAATTTCAATATCATAACTTTCATTCACTTATTTCCACGACCTCCTCACACCTCCCTTTTTGTATTCCACTTCTGTTAATTGTTTCAGCAATTCCTTTCCATCTTCCTCTGTTTTCTATCCTATAATTATCCTAACACATTCTAACCTTATTTTTCCCTTTAATACTCTAGTAATCTATTTATACTTAATTCCTTATAGCCTTTCTCCTAAAGCCATATAACTTCTTTCCAACATTTTTCTAACATTCATTAATTTCACAGTACTTCTGGGGACTTCCGGTGGAGCGCGATCTCACCGCAAGCGGGGATTTTCCCGTGAGGGAAATCCCGGGCTATTTCGGAGGAAAAGGGGTGCTACAGGGCGCGGTAAAAATACCTCTGGTGGGTGTCCAGAAGGTCAGGTTCCCGGCAGGACCAGAAGCGGTCTGCCCGGCCGTCAGGTAGCTTCCAAAAGAAGCGAAG